AAAAGCAATTGCAGAATCATCAGAGGTGATCTAGACAGGAAACACAAGAATGACCAAACACATGGAAATATCTTTTTTTGTAAAGAGGCAGAAAGAGCTTGTTTACAAAAGGAGAAATACAAATATATAATTTAATTACTGGTATTTAAAAAGTAGAATAGTATTTTCTCTCTGTCTCATAGGAGAATAACAAGGTAATGGTCAATGCAATTATGTCAGCTGCAATAGATAGCATCTCATTTCATGTAATTAGGAGTAGCACTAATAGAAATAAGCATTTATTCTGTGGTAACATCCAGCACGCCCCAGTCAGGAGCAGAGGTTGCACCAAGGAGCACTGTAAACATGTAACATTAAATACCAGGCCAGATGAGGTGCATCCAGCATCCCTGTACTCCGTCCTTAGGCCACAAGGAACTGGGACCTGTGGCTGCAGCTGCTGCTGCTGGGGCCCATATTTAGCCTGCAGATAAGACTCAGTGAAGCCAATGCGAATGATTGTCCTCCTGGTGATCAGTGGTGAATCCAGTGGCAAAGCAACAGTTCAAAACATTGCTACCCAAGCAAAGAATAGCACAGTCTTTCCCAAAAGAAATAAAAACAGAGCAGATGGGGGGGAAAAAGGGATGCCTTCCCTGTATCCAATGAATTTCCACGAATAATAATGAACACGTTGTTTTCATTTTTAAGGTGACAGGAGGGGACGAAGGCCAAGCATAATAAAGAATGAATGGTCAAAGTGGAAAAAGTCTTCCATAATTTTGGCTTCCAAAGTGCTCTGAAAAAGCTCCGTGTATCTTAGCTCTCGCCCAGCTTTCCAGTTTGTTTCCAGAGCTCAGAGGATAGAATTGATGTGGAGTAGCTCTAAACCTGAGAAGGGCTTGTAGTAATGACACACAAATAAAAATGTCCAGTTCAAGTTTAGAAGCTGTTTGAGAGCTCAGTGTTGAAGCCAGGAAGCTTTTCCGTCAGTAGGCCATGCTGTTGCAGGACTAGTGGATGGAAAAATTATTTAGCTGAAATCTTTCATCTCAGTTTTTGCAAATATTGTCATGTAAGGAGATAAAAAAGTGGGGTAGTTTTCTGTATGCTCAAGGCACACAAATTAGAAATTCTGCTAACTCAGGATAATTAGTAAGAATAAACAAGGAAGCATGTAACCAGAGGAAAAGTATTTATGTGATAATTTATGCTCAAAGAACTCTATTTAAATTTATTTGAAAGTAATATAATTCTATTTCATTTCCCTTTAAAAGAGAAAAAATAGCATTTCAGATGTCAACATTGTTAACTTGTCTGATTTATTCACTAGATGAATTTGAGCAGCATTTAGCTTTGCTATGAAGTGGGAATTGGCTGTCTTTCTACCATCTCTTAAGTCTGGAAAACAGTTGGTCCATTTTGACTCCTAAATCAAGTTTAGGAACTGTACTATATGGCCAGTGAGGCTAGAATATGATAAGGCAGAGGAAACTATTCCACTTCTTTATTAGCCAGCACTTTCACACACATTCAGTGGAAGGATCCTAATACTAGTGAGGCAAGTTTCATTTCCCTTCCATTCCGTTGCATAAGGATAGTGAAATAGTAACCAAAATCCAATTCATTTAAAATCTAATAGTTATTTAGTGATGAAAACACTAAATTATGAGAATGTTTTATAAGTTTATTCTCTCAGTCCTTTCCAAATAATTGCTGGAAATGTTTCCCCAGAGCTGCTCAGCAATTGCATAACCTGCCCTCTCCTCTGGGATAACAGTGCATATGTCCTACAGGAAGCTATGGAAAATAGTAGCTTCCTCCTATTTTGATTTAAATGTGACTGAGCATTTGCGTCAATCAAAGTACCAGGCAAAATTATTGTTCACATCAGGAAAGCAGCAGCTTCTCAAAGCTGTTTGTAATGCATGGATATTTGTCTGGAAAACACTGTCAAACTTTATCTCCTGAAAAATATGTTAGGATTTGAATTCAACATATTAGCATTTGTTATGTAAATCTACCAGTATGCTCAAATTTTAACTTTTTCTGATTTCTATTGGAAGTTTCAGGATAAGTTGGAAAGCTGTTAGCAAATCTCTCCCTTTTTCCCAACCTTCTCTCCTTTAAGCTAAGTAGTGCCACATCTTTCAGTTCTTCCTTGATCATCATGCTTTCCAAACCTCTGATCATTTTCTCTTTGGGCATTCCCTAGATTGTCTCTCCTATTCCTGCAGTGTCTCACCAAGCTAGGATTAAGTAATCCATCTGAACACAGATCAAATCCCAATTAAATGGAAGGAATATTTTGGGAAGGAATATTTTCCTTGCGAGCTCTGTTCCTGCTAATACCATCACCCTTGCTCATGCCTGCTTGGCAACAGCCTGATATTGTTGACTTCTGTATTCTCTGTTCCCTTTATTTATATACTTGCCATGTACATGTACAGGTGCTGCCTGTATGTTTACCTCTGCCTAAATGCATTTTCTTGCTCTTGAACATTTTTAATTTCATCCTGTACTTGCACTACTTCTCCAATTTATCAGGCTGAATTCTGTGCCTGTCCTGCAATGTGTACTTGGCTTAGTGCAGGGTTGCTGAAGGACACTGGTCTGTGATAGGGTTGATCAGTGGGAAGTGATGGGGTTTGATGCAGGTAGGTAAAAATGTAGGTGAATCATGTATGCATAGGGTTTGGAGAATTTTGCTTGCGAGATGGAGGGTAAGTAGGAAATGTGTAGGGCAGATTTGTTCCAGGCCCTTGTCAATGGCATATCAAACCCTTTCTTCATTTGCAATGATACTTAACTTATTTTTAGAGAACTTCTTAGCTATTACTTAGTAATTTTCAATTAGCAGTTGCTCTTACTAGTACTTTTACTAGTAATTGTGATTTCAAATTGAAGTATTTGGTTTATACCTAGTCTTACAGATAATATTGAGTCAAATTATAAGGGACTTGTTTTCCTGGTTGTGTTTTTGGAGGTGGAGACTCAGTGGCAAACAATATAAATGAAAAATTAGTCAGATTTTTTTCAAGTACATACCACTGCAATTTGGGCATTCACTCTCCTGTTTCTGTATATGAGTACAGTTCAACAATTCTCTGTTGAACTTCTCACATGTTAACCTAATAACTGGAGTTTCTGAAGGCCCCCCTATCATCACAAATGAGTATAATTTCTCTCAGTAAAACCCGGGTTTCTGGAGCTGTTTCTTCAGGACATTCTCCCAGTAATGACCTTTTTGAAACCACAGAGAGGTGTAGTGGCACCAACTCCTGTGTCACAATTTAATCCACCTTGGGCAATAAGAATAATTTTGCCTACACTTTGCTTTGGGAATGTGTCTGCTTAGGCCTGTTAGTACTGTTCCTTTATTTTCACAGTAACTCCTTTTCAAAAATAATTTCCTATCTTTTAAATGAGATTTTCTTTGTTCCTTAGATTTCTCTCTCTATTAAAATATAGGCCAGACCTCACTAAATGTTCTTAGTTGGTCTATATTAAGAGCATGACCTTCATGTTATTTATATCTCTGTAAGTTTTTGTAATTTGCAGCTTTTTCCGTCAATAATTTTATATTTTTTGTTCAGATCATTCAGTATGATTTGGGTCCATTTAGTATGGACCAGACTGATAGTATATATTGCTGGGGCTTTTATCAAAAACCCTGTAGACTTGTGAGCCAAAGCCCTAATGAAATCTTACAGGAGTTTACTTTATCAAACTAATTCATGGTCTCATGGGAAAATAGGCAGGTTTTTTTATTCCTGACAAAACTAATTTTCTGTGTTGACTGGCGTTAATTGTACTATCATCCTTTCATTGTACACTGATTTCTTCCTGTACCAGCCTCTCCATCAGTTTCTCTGACGTTGATGTCAGGCAAAATGATCTGCAATTTCCTTATTAAATAAGGGAACAATGCTTACTTCTCCTCTGTCTTGGGGATCTTATGTGGAATTTCAAGACATGTTTTGCTTAGTTTGGTTCTTTTAATTTTGTCTTTTAGGGTTTAAGTTTAGGGTTCATACTTGTTAAACTGGTATTATTTTAGTTCTGATGTTTTGGAATCTTAGTAGTGAATATACAAATTTCTTCTTTAATAGATCACATGAGGAATATTTTAGGGGCACAGAGCTGGTGAAGTATTATGCAGTGGACATAAAAGTTGTTTTTAGGGCATTTTAGGAATGCACAGACATATCCTGGTATTGAAGGAAAATGTTAATCTCTGTGAAAGAGCAACAAAAAAAGTAAATACAGTGAATAGAGATCATTTATGTATAACATTGATATTATAACCTAAAGGTATAACTGCAAAATTTTCACTGTTCTGATCAATGTGAAAGGAAAACTTGTAAGAGATTAGTTTGTAACTAAGGCTCACTGCAGCACTGCTAAATGAATATGAAGGGTTTGTATAGAATTTTAATTATAGAAGAAGAAAATATATGAGAACAGCCAGACTGAAAAGAGATTGTTAAACAGGAGTGTGTGTCCATTTCTGACTATCCCATTTGATTTTTTTTTTGGAGGGGTATTGCATACTCAGGATCCTTCCATGTTCTCCTTCTCTTTTCATACCTATCCCTGGAGACATCTGTGGTGTTGATGTTTGTTTGGCCAAGGGAATCTGAATGAGAGTATTCACAATGTACCATTGCTGATCCCAAACCATCAGCAGTCTCATGGAGAGGTGCCTGTTCATTCCTCCTCATCTCTTTTTTTAAAGCTTTGGCTGATGTGAGCACCTGGAGCTTTCAAAACCTTTTGATACTTGGTAACTAGTTTCTCTCTGGTAAATAAAAGAAGAAAACTATTAGAGCAAAACAGTGAAATGGATTTTTAGATTCTCCCATCAAATACCATGGGGGTCAGCATCACCCTGCCTTCCTGAAGGGGTGAAGCTGTATTTCTCAGGAAATTAGTGAGTATTACAAGAGCTGCTGGGTCCAAATTTTGATAAGTACCTAGCTTTTCACATTTGGTGCCACATTTCTGAAATTGCTACTTACATTTCATCACTGGGAGGTTGCACACTGTTAGGTTTCTGAGGCAGGGGCTTTCCATGGCCATGTGTTTCTGCAGCCTTTAGCATAGTTGGTACTTCATGTGAGACTGTAAAACCAATGCAAAGGACGAATTAAATCCATTTTTGTTGGGATCCAAATGTCATTTGCATAGTTTATGAGCTTTTTTATTCATTTTTGTCCCTCTGTTAGATCAGTGAGGACAGCAATAGTTGTCACTGGTACTGTACTATAGTTAGCTATAGCAAAATAGAAAGTTTGTGGAATTTCACTTAGGTTATAGGAAAAGTTTCTATCACAGCTAAATTACATCAAATAAGCTACTTGGTTTTAGTATTACATTTAATCTTCTGAATCACCAGGAAGCTGATTTTAATCTATCTTTCTACAGCCACAAGGGTTACACACTCGCTTCTGGCAGCTTATACCAGGTCCTAGGAGAGGCAGGAGGAGTTGTGTCAACAAGGTGGCAGACTTCATTTGGCACCTCTGCTCCCAAATGGATAATGTGAGCATCTGAAAACAGTGTGTACCTCACTGGTGGCTGCCTAATGTGCTGCCCTGTGTTCATGGTGAAGGAGAACCTCGGCCATTCAGCCCCAAAAACAAATAGCTGGTTCAGCCCTGCCTGTTCACTGCTGTGGCATTCCACTTTTGGGGCATTCACTGCAGATTTTAGAGCAGGGCAGAATCAAACTGTGTGAGAAGAAAGCTGCCAGAAAGAGTGAGGAATATGGGGGCAGCAGGATGGAAATAAGCACATAATTTTGCTAAAGTGTTCCAATATGGAACAATATTAAGGAGGCTCTCGATGAGCCTAAAACTTCTTCCAGCTGCTTGTGAGCTACCAGTTGTTCCTGACATTCCTGATTTCTGGCTTCTAAGCCTGGTCTCTTTTTAGAACCTTGAAAAAAACCCCAGTTTTTATTTGAGCTTATTGAATTTATTTTATTTATTTCCAGAGTAAAATGTTTATGTGGAAACAAGTTTGTGTGGTGTTCTCATGGCTCAAATAGTAATACAAGCACCCCTGAGGAAATGAAAAGTGACACAGCATGGGCCAGCCTGCGAGAACAGCTGAGTGCTTGAAGGCTGCAGCCTGGCTCCTCAGTTCATCCTGCACTGACCACATACATATTCCCTGCTGTTTTCTTCTTTTCAGTGTGAGACTGGGTGCCAGAGGTGCAAAATGGACTGAAAAGCAGGATTTTGTGTGTGGGGGTCATAGCATCTCTCTGCCATTTTGCTTTCCTTTGTTAGTAGATGTAGAAGAGTTTCTGGTTTTTATGAGAATTTTATGCTGCCTACACACTTCCAGTATAGTGACATTACCAGGTAAAAGCATGGGCAGAGAAGTATTGCAGTACTGGACTTCAGTACATTTATACAGACTTCAGATTCATTTATACGGTGTTATCAGAATTTGCAGTTTGTGCCTTTTGATTAGAACTGCCAACATTTATTTTTTCTGTGACAGCTGAATTACAGGTTTTGTGAGGAAAACCTCACAGCTGATTAAACTTGTATTGACAGGATTGCATTCTGTATTAACAGGAAAACAGCTACTTCAGGCCCCCTAAATCCCATCTTTTCCTCTGCTTTTACTGTAAGGCCCTGAAAACCCAGAGTAAATCAGCAAGAATTTGCCACCACAGATTCTTTCAATGTAAAGGAAACTAAACATGTCATTGCCAATTGACCAGAGTAGCTCTTTTGATACATTTATGTCTTCTTTTAATCTGCTCTTTGTCTTTCAGATGTGGATTGATTTATCCTTCCAGCATTTCTGTCTTAGGCAAAATATTTTTGTTAGTTTGTAGGAGATAAATCACAGCTCTTCCCTCTAAATGCCTAATGGCTGACTCTTAATTTCTTGATCTCTGTGTGTGAATAAAAGTCTGACCTTGTTTTAAAAGTACTCAGGGAAGGTAAGGGAATATAGAGCACATAATGAAAACCATCAAAAGGAAAAAAACAACACAAACACAAATCAATCTTCTTGGTGGTTTTGAATTTTAGTGAGGTTGAAAGATGTTGATTTTCTATGGACTAATATGCATTTTAACTGATACATGGGGTTTAATGTTACAACCAGGTAAAACAAATTTTGGCATTCCTGTAATCTTGTAATTCTATTGCTTGCTTGAGGTTGAATTATTTAGAATGGAAAGTGTATAACAAAAAAAGGATATAAATATATCCCTAGAAACAAAAGGAACAGGAACTGGAATTCTATAATGTTTATAGTTACTAATAAGGAAAGGAAATAAATACAAGTTGTTCTTAAACATGCTGGTAAAATTGAAAGTGAACACTGCAAGTTCTCCCAAGTGCTTTCCAGCCATAAAAACTTGCAGAAAGTAGATTTTACCACAGATACAGCCCAGCTGAGCATGGAGCTGAAACATTCACAGTGCTATTGTTTCCATTTGCTAACAGGCCTTACTTGCTTCAGGGGTCCCTGCATGTTCCGGCTGTTTTTCATTCCAAGTAGCTCAAAGCTCTAGGACAGTTTGGTCCCTTCACATCTCAGTAGGAAAGCTTTGGATTGAAATGGACAAACAGTCTCCCTCATTCAAAAACAGAGCTTCTTTCTTTCTTTTCTTTTTTATTTTTTTTTTTAATTCCCTCAAGATTCTTGCTGTTTCTGAAGAGTTGTGCTCATGAATAGTAATACGAAATAAAATAATTTCTGAGGCTCTTACTACAAGGTAATTAAAAAAAGATGGGGATGAAATATCTGAAATATCTTTCAGTTTGTGTGTTTATCTGTCTCATTGACTATCTACCAGTTCCTGCAACTCCAGGGCACTTCAAATTCACTAGCCAGCATTGAGCACATCTAGTGGAAAGATAAATATAACAAACTACTGTGAACACCTCAAAAGAAAAAAAAAAAGGTTTCTTCTGTTGAGAAGAGACACCGTTTTCATGCCTTCATCAAGAGTCAGGGTGTCAGTGACCATCTCAGGAGGGCTGTCCCCTGAGCCTGCTGGTGCTAGAGCTTCAACTGGAGCTTTGCACAGTCCCAGGAAGGTGTTAACATGATTCACTTAAAAACCTGGCAGCCACAAAATACAAGTAGAAAAAAATGCATCTGGGTCTATTCTGATGCTCCCAGAACCAGCAGCTCTCTTGCTTCAGGCTGGCCTGTCTGCTCTCTTGCTCCTTTTCCTCTGCTAACATCAAGCTTACACACCTTAGCCACTACTTACAAGAAGAGTGTGGAGACAGCGTAACTTTGTTACCTTGCCTAATTTTGCCTTCCTGGTTTTAGTTCCTTTTGGAAGGAATTGGAGAAATGTCCCTCTGCACATCAAGCCTCCAGCTTCCAGCTTTAGAATCAAGCTCTTTTCTGGTGTGTCTGGTGTTCTCACCACATTTCACCATATTCCCTTTCATTCTTGCTCTTATCATCACCAGTGCTTGAAAATACCTTACACTCTAGTGCAAGAGCAAAATACCCTCTCCTCTTCATATCTCCCTCAGCAAACTCTTCTTCGGCAGCACTCGGACGTGAGTCAATAGCGACAGCCATCATCTGACCATGCTGCTGCTTCTGCTTTGTTGCTCCTCTTTTGATCTCGCTGTATTCTGCTCACAGCCCTGTGCTGCTTAGCAGAGGTCCTTGGGACATGGACCAGGCCTTTGTGCTTTGTACAGAGTGTTTCTGTTCTCTGGCTGAATGTCTTGCCCTTTAAAAGGCTACTCTAAGGCTGTCAAAATGTGGTTTATGTAATCAAGAATCTAATTCGGAGATAGCAACTCTCCCTTACAGGCCTAAAATTCTCTCTGTGTACTGTTCATGCCAACATAGCTTTGATCACACAAGTGTTCATGGAGCTCAAATAAAAGGAGCTGTAAATAGAGAAGAAAAGCCTTAAAAATGATGAGGTAAGCTTTCTTGATATTTACGTTCTTCCTTGTTGGCAAATGGGTAATTTGAATTCAACCTAATCTGTTTTTATTTCAAAAATGAAAAAAATATGACCAGTACTTCTCAGCAGAGCAGATTAGTGAGCTCCAGTGGGCTAAGCACAACACAATGAAATGAGGCAATTTAAAGAAAACCATTAAAGGGTAAAAACATTTGAGTAATCAACAACAATGCTCCCTTCAGAACAGGTCATTACAACAAAACTGGTTGTGCTGCCAGTCCTGTTGATTTTCACTGACTACAAAGCAGAATAGAGACTTTCTCCATAAATCCCTGGGTGCTAATGCAGGAAGGTGGCTGTGTAATCTGAGCTGTCTGACCCTGGCAAAGGAACAGACTGTAAGTTCACTGCCTATAGAAATGATTAAAAAATTCTCCAGTGCTGGGAGGAGAGCTTGCTTTTTTATTAATGTTTATCAGATTAAAGAAGTTAAATAACTGAAGCAATATGAGCAGTGCATAAAAGCAGGGGAGTGAAAGGAAAAAAACTGGTTTGGGAGTGTGCCATGACCTCTGTCATATAGCCTCTCATTGATCTGTCTTCCAATTCATCCTGTCAAACAGCTAGTATGGCCTGGGGTCCACAGGCAGAGGAGCACCATTCATTCACCCTGCTGTCCTGAGCACAGATGCTTTCCCTGGTGCCTGGTAGTTCCTAGCCAGCTTCCAGAGCTTTGGCAGAATCGTTCCCAGATGTCTGACACACCATGATGACACAGAAATTCATACAAAAGGGATATGAAGTGAATGCATAGTTAATACTGTTGTCTTTATCTCTGTAAAGAGTATCTCCATGAATCTGGTAGGAAATAAATATGTGCACATTGCATTAAAATTCCTTCTTGGAAGGTATATATCCCAGAAGTTAAGGAAAGAAGCTTTTTTTATTTGCATGTGAGAGTTTTAATGAGCTTTGAAAGGAATTGATCTGTCAGTGCTGGGGCTGAGATCATTACCCACAGAGCACAGTGCACAGCTTGCTCTTCAAAGAGCTTTTTTATGTGCTGTTCCAGGCAGCTGCACAGCCCAGCAGAAAGGGGATGCTGGAGTGGCATCCTTCTCTTCTCAACACCACTCTTTTGCTGTGGTTGGCTAAACCTCCCCAATAAAAGCTGTCACCCTCAGGCCAGTCCCACAGCACACTGCCATGT